GAAACGTAATTAGATGCTAACGAGGCTAACGAGGCATACCCGGTAAAAAATGCAACAGTGAAAGAGCGACTATTCCCAAAGCCCACAAACTATCAATCAGAGTAAAGCCGAAGCTCTGCCGTTTCCAACAATACCAGAATCACCACGCTACGTGCAAAACTCACTGAACCAGCAGCTGAAGAAGAAAAAAAGAAATCGCTAATTTCACGAAGCGAAAAACATAAATTCAGTCCTACCTTTGCTGTTTCGTGGTCATAATCCTTATTAGACTAAATATTTCCACTTGGTTCGATAATCCATTTTCCCTAAATCCATCTCATACTGTTTTCGGCTCTGCCCAGAGCCTCTTCCGCCTCCTGGGCTTCCATATAAAAATGTAGAGGCGAACTCCGTCAATGCACGTCACATGCGTTTCCCGTCCTCTAATTGGTGAATGGCTTTAGTTTCCGTATTAATGTCAACGCCCTCGGATTCTATTGGCTCTGACGGTTCGAAAGACGTGTCAATCATCAAAATTGGCCAATGGGATCCCGAGAAACCGCCCCGCGTAAGTTTGAATATCTGTATTGAGAACTGCATGGTTTTACGCGCAGAGCGCAGACTAGAGACTCCAGGAGGAAATTTTTTTTCAAAGGAACCCCCAAAAACAATTATTAGATGTAATTACTTATCTATGACAAGTAATCATTTATTCTATAAGAATAAATAATTGAAACAGAACCTACAGAAAAAAAACTGAGAAAGTTCAAATGGCACAAATTGTGCCAAAATGGCTAATTTGGAAGGTCCGCCTAGATTTTTATCAAGTAGTACCTCTCTAAAACTCATGGGATTCACTTTCTTTCCATGAAACTTGGCACAGTAAAAGGTCAGATTGTGTACTGTTGTTTACTACATCCAAAACATGTAGTAAACATGCTTTGAAAGGAATCTTCATATATTGAACTGGTTTTTTTTTAGGCGGAAATAGATATTTTGCTTAATTTCTGCTGTGTATCATATTAATTCACTTTCCTCAGTAACAGGCAGGGTGGGTTTTAGAGCTGTAACATATTCTCTAGAGTCTTGCCTTTATTTTGATACCAAAACAATTAAAATAAACTCTGTAGTTCTTGAGATACATTCAATTCATTTTGGGCATGTATTTTCAACCATATTTCTCAAAAAGAGGCCTAGAGATGAAGAGGTTAATGATTGTTTCCTTTATCAACGTTTTGATACTTTAACATCTGGACATTGACTAAATTATTATTGTTATTA